CGATGTAATTAATTCGTGTGATGACTTTGAGCGGTGTCTCTGCTATTCAAATGAATAAGTTTCGCAATTCATAAATTTACTAATATAACGATGATTTTTACATGAAAGTTTTTGCCACACAAATATTGTTAGAGCTGGGGCCATCGCTGTAGTGAAATTTTGCTTGCTGTAATCTCATAGGCCAAAGAGATTGAATGTTTAATAATAAAGAAAAAAAAATAGTTATTAAATTTCCATATTAATTTATTTGAGACATTGGTCAACGTCATAATGTAACTTAATTTTGATAAACTTTTAAAAATAAAAAAGTTATAGTGCCGGGGGGGGGGGGGGGGTGAAATAATGCATGAGTACCAAAATGTTTGTATTATTAATGCAGAATGAAAATAAGGTAAAAACTCCTTTGTGTAGAAATAACCATCCAAAAGAATGAAATATAATATAAATACACGAACTTTTTAAACGACCCCAGCAAACAACATCTTTTAAGGCTTTTCCCCGCCTGTCTGTTGATGAGGTATTCAGATTCCACCTTATATCTCTGCTGTATTGTCGGGTTCACAACCAGTTGATCCGCAGACTAACTATTCCGAGATTCAAATATGGTGAGCACTTGACAATGGATTCCCGTCCCACGCGCGCCATCCCAGCGGAGGCAGAGCAATTATATCTTGGCACGCTTTTAAGTGGGTTGCACCATATTTGATCGGCGGACTAGGTAGTACGCGGATCAACTGGTTGTGAAAGTGGCCTGTTTGCTCGGAAATGCCTGCTACCGGCCAAATCTGTCACTGTGAGGAAAGAGATTTCTTTTTCAACGCAAGAAGAATTTCCCAATATGGTCCCTAATATCTTAACATGCTTCAGTGATTATTACTCGTTTTCGTGTTGAAACTATACTAAAAGATAAAATAATCACTTATTGTTTAGTTTCTCTTTTTTGGGCAATTGAGTATTTGAAAAATGCAGCTTTTAAAAAAGGGGCAGCTCTAAGTACTTAAATGGGCTGGATTATCGCTGAATGAAAGGTTTTCCTGCGAAAAACTAATATTATTGAGTTAAAAACTATTTTTTGCCTGACTAGGCAACCATTGATTCTCCTTTCCTGAACTCACCATAACTCAAAAATTCAAAATTAACCCACGTGCACTTTTTTTTAAATTCCACCATCGCTTTAAAAACCTGCGCGCGATTCACGATTGAGCTTTAAGATTATTGACATGTTGCGAGGTTCGTGAAGAGGTCTTAGGCTTCGTTCACATGCAATGTCTATTTTCTAAATTCTATTTTCTATTCGCGGTAAGTCTTATGATCACGGTCTGTGCCCTGAATATCCCGCGGCGTAATTACTGGCAGCGCGAGCCAGTTACTATAAGTTACTTTAAGTAACTGGCTCGCGCTGCCAGTAATTACGCCGCGGGATATTCAGGGC